GCCGCCGCCTCCGTGGCGACGGTGGAGTCTTTTCCGGTGAGGCTCTGGACGACTGACTTGAAACTCACGGCGTCGGTCTCCACGTACTGCGTGTGGATTATCACCACCTTCACGCCGTCTTTATTCCGACCGCCCATCACAAATTGTCGGAAAAAAAAAGGCCAGAGAAAAAATAATTACCGGGCTACTGTGTGATTTTGTATGTGTGTGTGTTTTTTAATGTTTTTTTTTTTTTTTTTTGCCTGAATCTGATGATTTTGTGTGTGTGTGTGGATGTGTGGAGAAATAGATAATTTAAATAATGAGGATTTTGTAAGTACGGTTTGACAAATTAATAATTGGGAGATGCAATAAGTTGACCGTTGGGTGACGTAGGATTTTTGGCTGGTCAACTCGGATTTTGGTCAAACCTACGGAGCTGCGGGAAGGAAACTATATGGCCCCCGCAGCACGTTACCGCGAAATTTACATCATTAATTAGGAATTTCTTTTTCCTTTTCTTTTTTTATTTACAGCATATAAGTATTACACAAATTATAATTGATTAACATTTCCACATATGAATTTATTAATACAATTTCTATTCCATTTTATACACAATAAAAATATGTACGTGGAACATAATAATGGGATATGTTAAGGTCCCGTTATTGAATCATTTCGTCGGAGTTTGTTATCGATGGATCAATATTTAACCGTCAGAGATAATTGATCTAACGGTTACAAACTCCTACATAATAATTTTGTAACGGGATCGTAGTATCTTTTTTATAGTAAGACGGGGATGGGGGAAATGTTATAGCCACGAATAGGACAATAATATTACTTGGGATTTATGTGTGTACGGATTCCTTTTCACGTTTTATTTTGATTGACGAATCTAATGATATTCATATTTATCTCTTCTTTTTCATACTTTATGTTTGATTTTCTTAAACTGATTCACATTATCCTTTCTTTTTTCAAGTAATCTAAAAACTACATAATTTCCAAGATCTTGGCTCGTTGAAGGTTACATGTCCCACATATTTACATTGTCACCTCTTAATTTCTATACATATATTTAATTTTGTGATTATTATGAATGCAACAACATTAGTATTTAAAAAATCGAATCGAAACTGTTGATTACGGTCTGATTTTGGTTCATATGTTTTTATTTTTCGAACTGAAACCGTTTGAGTTTATACCAATGTTTCAAAATTTGAATTCGAACTTTAAAATTTTGGTTTTTGAGATCGGCTCATCCGACCCCGACATACTTTTTTTTTTTTTTTAGCAAAAAACAATAAAAAGAATTTTAGACTACAAAAATGTCCTAATTATTGTCATTTATTTATTTTTATTTTATATATTATGTATATGCTGCTAGGATCAAAATACTTGACCACTTTTGTATTATTATTGTACGAAAAGTTGCAATAAATAGTTTGTGTCCGTGGTCGCATGCAAACCGCAAGAAAATTGGTCCATAAAATTGTTGTGGCCACTTTCAAATTTAAATTGTGCTGACCAAATTGCAACTTGATTTTTGTCCCAAAAGTACACACATATATATATATATATGTGTGTGTGTGTGTGTGTTTAATTTGAATTTTGAAGCATGACTCGTAAAATCACATTAGACTTAATCACATTGGAAATTTAATAAATAAATAAAAGGTTTTACTTACATAGGCCTACCAATTATATTTATATGTAATTATTTTATAAGAACCAGTCATATATATATAGATATATTAATTGTATCAATCTCATTAGTATATGAACAAATAAATGAATAAATAATAGTAAACTAAAGACCTGCATGCGCAAGACTTCCACTGGTGTACTAATTGTCGTGACAGTGAAATCTTGTTCACAGGAAAATTTCAAGAGAGATATATAGTCGGTTAATTAATTTTAATTATCAAATTAGTATGATTTGGACACTAATGTTGACTTTTTGAAGACTTTTTACACTTTTTTTTTTTTTTTTCAAAATACAATGGTGAAAGAAAAAGAACCTTCTCCGCTTCATTCTAACCTTTTGCGACAAAAGAATAAAAAGGGAAAAATAGGAAGGAAAATGAATTTATTGAAGTTATATTTATACAATTTATTGAAGTTATATTTATACATTTTAAATTTAAAAGTGTATAATTAAAAAGTAAAGTTGTCTAACGGTTAGGTCGGACTAACACCACAATTACATCACATTAAGGACATGTTTGTATGCAAATATATCCGCTCAAAATAAATTTTTCTATATTTTTTTTTTGTTAATCAAGGTTAATTTTGAAAAAATGATATGGTTAGTTGTTAGTGGATTTTTGTTTTACTATTAAATAATATTTAAAATAAAATAACTAAGATTGATTTAAAAGTAGGAGAGAGATTCGTACCAAAAAAAAAGTAGGAGAGAGATTATATGAAATGATAGTTAGTTAAAATTATGTTAATGTACGAATAATAAATTAAAATTAATGTGATCGAAGTGTAAGAATGATTGATTGATATCATTTAATTATATTGATAATGTCGAGGATGATGGAGTTAGGTTAATGTTGAATTCTATTTTGAGTACACTACAAAAAAATTGGTATATTCCAACAGGAAATCTTACGGTAATATATTCCAATAGAAAGTTTAACGGATATTCCAACGGTATAAAATCCATTGAAATAATTCCAACAGTAATTCCAACGAAAATATTCCGCTGGAGCCTGGAATGACTTTTCCATTAGAATTTTAGATGGAATTTGTTATTCCAACGACTATTTTTTCAACGGATTTTTATCATAGAATTTCTGTTGGAGTATGTAATTTCCATTATAATTTTTATTTCCACCCCGTTGAAAAATCTACCGTTGGAATCGTCAAAATCCAACGGAAATTCCAATGAAAAACTCGTTCCAACAGAATTTTTTGTCGGAATTTCCGTTGGAATCCATTAAAATATATTTTCACTAAAATTTTCCGTTAGAATTTCATCATTTTTATGCAGTGGCATGAATTGAGTTTCACTTTAGATAATCTTTTGTAGGGAAATATGTGATTACTTTGCCACCTTTCCTATGATTCATCATAAAAAGTAGTAATAGGCAATAAAATGGGAAATGTAGAAGAACAAAAAGGTTGCATGCCACTTTTTGCAATTAAGACCTTTTTCTCTTTCTTTCTTTCCTTCTTTTTCAAAAAGTTGTCTGCCTCTAGGATGAATTTCACCCTACTACTCGTGTGGGTGTTTACATGGGATTTTAACCATTTGATCAATACATATTCCCCCGCTCGTGTGAGTGTATGTGATACAACAGATAAAAATTCGGTGCATGTGGTCACTTTCGAATTTGCCTGTAAATTTATTGATCGCTATAAATATCATGTTATTTCACAAAAATGAATTAAAGAATAGACCTGCAACAAAGAGGTACAAGGATGTCCTGAATGGCAAGAAAAGTGGGACTGAAATATGAATAAACCAAAGTTTCTTAGGTCAAAATCTGATATTCGGTTTCCAATAGTGTTTTCTGGGTTGAATCCGGGTCGATCGATCTACGAGACTCCTCCCATAATTTGGTCTCGATACCCAACTTCCGGAGCTCCATCAAACCACGCTCGACTGAGACAAACAAGCAAACAAAAAAAAAAGGACAAACGTCAAATGTTTTTAGTGACCGTGAAATTAAAGTAAGGTGAATCCATGCAGCACAAGCAAATGTACAAGTGCAAGGTTACATAGTCGTAGGGGTTGTGACGATAGGTCTAGTATTTTCATAACATTATTTAAAAAATTATCTAAATAGAATATCGAAAGATTAAGAGAGAGTACCGTCTACTGCATCGTGCGAATTAGGTTGTTTATTTCCTTGGTTGATCCAATTTTGTAGTCTGTCCTCTGCGATGTCTGGTTCAAGGCCTTGATTTTTCGCTCTTCTCCATATAAACATCAGCCAAGCCTGAAAAACATGAACAATAAATTTGGCATGTTACTATATTTAATATCAATAATCAACAAATTCAGGGTAAATTTCAAATGGCGGTCGAGTTAAAACTACTAAAATTCGAGAAGTTTGATAAAATGTAACAATATTTCATTATAGAATTAACTTTTATAGAACAGTAAAAAGAGTTCCCAAATTACCTGCTTTAGAAGCACATCTTCAGACTCCTCTGGAGTTAGTTCTGAAACAAAGGATAATTTTTTAAAAAAAAAAAAGTCATATTGTCGTAAACCAACAAAAATATAGCGGAAGTAGTTAATATACGAAAATTTACCAAATGCTTCCGCAAAATTTTGGCCCTCTGCTGGCAGCTTTAGTTCGTCTACAGTTATCAAAGTAAAAATATATTTGAGAATGTCTGAGGAACACCATCAAATCTACCAAGTAATTTTATTTACTGCAGATAAAATGTGAAAATGATAAAAAAAATATGTAAAAGGATATGAATAAGCAAAACATAGCTGCTTCCAGTTTGAGTATAGATTATAGTAAATTTATTTACTGCTACAAATGAGTTGAAAGATCCTATATATGCAAATGAAATGAGTGTAGCTAAAATGGGGAAAAAAAAGCAGAACGGGAATGAAATAATTTGCCGAACCAGATTTTACGATATTTGGGCGACGTTTTTGGGCCAATGTTATGGCTATTGCCTCCTCAACCTTCAACACAAAAACAAACAAACAAAGATATATTCATTCAGAATAAAGTTAGAATAGAGCAAATCAAACAATTATAAGTAAAATGATAAAATCGAACAACCGTAATTTTATATGCTCATAAGAAAAATGTAGTTCGTTCATTAAAAAGCGACCTTAAGTAAGGTCAGTTCCCTAAGACCCCTTTCAACCGAAAGCATGCTCTCAACGTTGGGCTTGTTTGAAATTTCATCCTTGGCTTCCAGAATATTCTCCCTTTCTTCCAAATCACTATTATCTGCCAAATTTTAACGAACAAAATTACGGAACACGAGAAGCTAGCGTAACACTAAACCGAACTGTCGTGCTTTCTGTTAAGGAGATATTGAATATTTGCGGAAAAAACAAAAAGTTCTGCTGATTAAGATATTGCTTTATATTTACATGTGATGGTATCGTAGATATTTAACTTTTTTTTTTTTGGGACAAATCTCTGTGAAATCAAAATTACTGTCTGAAAACACGGAGAAAGATGAATTTACTCGATGAATTTTCATTCTTCGCTTTCCTTCCTGCAGCCAATATGACTTCAACAGGACGTGAAGCAAAAGATGACCAGTACTCATGCCTTGCGCCAGCTATATCAGCATGAATACCTGCAAAAGTAAAACCTTATTCTGAAGTCTAAATGCAAAGAAAGAATGAAGATGAGCAAAAAAAAATAAAAAAATTGGGAACTCAAAAAAAATATGTATGGTAAAAAATTCGTCGAAACTTGTGTTAGATGGAGATAATTATCTTTTCTTGCAGTTTTCAGTATTATTTTTGTCAGATTCTAACAAGATTGTGCATCATAGCCTGTGCTAAAACAGATTCTTGAATTCCAAACGCTAAATAATCGTAGGTTCGATATATTATTGGCCGAGTAAAACTACCATAGCTGACACATATATTCCAGCACCTGGCAAGCCAACACCTCTTGAGAACAACTTCTTCCTACAGTGTTTTTAGACAGTCATTAAGTATAGACAAAAGAAAAAAAAAAAAGGAAAGCAAAAAAAAGAAAAAAAAAATGCTTTTAACTTAGTAGAA